TGGACCTTTAAAAACTTGTTTTCTTTCCATGTTTATTCATTCAGCAAACACGAAGCTCCTACTATGTGCAGAAGAGAGGCGCAATGAATGTTAGATGAAGGGAAAATACTCAGAATTTCAGAAGTGATCGCAGCACTCCACAAAACATGTCCATCTTCATGCTCTCCCTCCTCCATCCTTGGCCCGACTTCCGCTCACGCACCAGGTCACTGAACGCTCATGCGAACGAGTCGTTAAGCACAGACTGACCCAAGCGTGGTCCATGCCCAACGCTAATGTCCGTCCCCCCAAGAGGTGCGAGTCTTCAGCCTGGGGCCGCCTCAGTGGATCTTCAGCTTCAGGTGAGGCCAGGCCACCGTGATGATGCCGGCGACCGAGGACACGAGCCCCCCGAGCCCAATGATGCCAGGGTTGGACTTGTAGATCCCCAACTGGTCCAGAGGGTTCAGGAGGTCGCAGAGGTTCTTCACCGTGTCCAGGAGCAGGGGTGGGTGCTTGCGCAGCGATCGGAACAAGAGCAGGAGAAAGGACTGGAGCCATTCTGTCTCCTCATCGGCCACGCTGTGCCCCAGAGGATCCTGGGAGAGCGACCTGTCCCTCTTTGCCTTGTCCTGCGCGGCCTGTTCCATCTGCAGGGAGATCTCGTACAGGTCCCGGACCAGGCTCAGCAGGAGGGAGTAGTAGTAGTGGCGTGCGGCCCACAGTCGCCACTTCTCCTTGTTAATGCCAGAGGTGAGCCCCACGCTCCTCACCCAGAGGACGGTGTCACAGATGAAGTAAACCACCCGGTTCAGGTTGGCGAGGGTCAGGCAGAAGCGGGGCACGAGGTCCGTGGCGTGGATGCTCTGCTGAGTGGCCTGCACAGCGTGGACCACGTTGCCCAGCCGGAACCCTGCAAGAACCCACGGCAGCCAACGGTTATTGAACTGTGTGCGGCAGGAAGGCAGGGCCCTGGTCCCTGACACCACACTGTCACTGAGGCTCTGTCCTTGCTCAGGAAAGGAGAAAGGCTACACTTCACAGTAGGCCTCAGACACCTAACGTGATCCCAGCCC